TCTCTTTGTCTGCCTTTAGCTCCTCTCTGTCTGCTTCTGTCCTCATTGCCTCCTCTGTCTTTGCCAGTGTTGCTATTCCATCAAAGGCATCAAAACAACAGTTGGGACCTTCCGAAGTAACCAGATGTAACCATAGCCGGCTGTTAGGACCATGGCTACTCATCTTCAGTTCCGTTGTTTACTGAACATTTACTGTGGTCAATTCTAGCCCTTGGACACAGTTATGCAGTATACAGTCCAGCTGAGATTTACTTAGCTGCAGTTCTTATTTAGACAGGACATCACATTCCATGGTGTTGTATATTTCCACTTATAGGCAACCTGAAAGCATCTGGTCCTTCTGGCAAAAAGCATGTTTGATTATCCTGTGAAATCAGATGTAGGACGCCACTTCTCACATGATGCACTCATCTTACCTCCCCCTGCATGGGAGTTTACCCCCCCGTGCCACCCGTCTGATACAGCAAGACCCCAGCAACAGGGGCAAACCGCCGTCAAAAGGCACAAGAACAATGAAGCTGATTTGATTGCATTATAGTATATATGGGGGAAAGGCCCATGTTGTTTTCAGGGGAAGTCTTTATAGGCTCCAAACCTACAAGGACAGAATTTAAGCTGAATTGGTTGGTTCTGATGCAGAGATTGGTGCAGAGGCAACCCTGATGGCTCTCTTTACTTCTGCTGTGATGCTGAGTCAGCCATCAGTCCTCAGTGTCAGGGCCACACGGACTGACCGTCCTCTCAGCCTCGGCTGTGGTTTGGGGCCGAGCTTACGGTGCCCATATGTTGGACTCGAGCTTGGAGAGAATGAGCCACCAGCAGCCTGGAGGTGAAGGAAGGCAAGCGGCTCACTCTGGAAAGTGGCAGAGGGTGGCCATTGGATCCCATTCTCGAGGGCCACAGAAAGAAAATAAGGAGTGAAGATGACTGCTAAGCTCTATCCTTCACCCCAAGCTCAGACATGGAAAGTGCAAGCTAAGGGCATTCTCTCCCTGGCAAAGTGCCTAGTCAGCAGTGAGAGATTCTGGGGGGAGTTGTGACCCCACTCACTGCTGCTGAATCTGTATTCTGAAGGTGAGCTGCATTTTGAGGATGAGGGGGTGCTCACCATGTTGTTGTGTGATGTCACTGCTGCATTCCGTGGTGCAAGAGACAGGTGCCTCAGTGGTTTGTGCTTGCCAAGGTGGGGGGTGGGGTGCTGTGGTGATATAGCGCCCCCTGGAATCCTCAGGCGCTGCCATAGCCAGAGCCGCTCTAAGCCGGCGCTGGGTGGATGTGTAAACAGTGAACACATCCTCCTGGTGTTGGTCTCCAGTGGGTTATGGAAAGGCGATGTAAATAAGGGCATTTTCCAGCACCTCCAACTAGCTTACAGCTCAGAGAAGGACTGATTATTGCCTGGGCGAGGTGACTCATTATGTGAATAAACACACGATAAAGGCCACGGAGTGTTAGCACAGCGAGCGCGTCTTTAGTCCCGCTGGCCTGGTGTTTTTGTTGAGAGTTTCTGCAGCAGTCTTGCAGACTGATACACGCCGAAATCTGGGACAGAGCTGAACAGGAAGCTTGGCAGAGCAGTACCATGTTTGCTTTGGACTTGAGTCTGCAGGAAGGCGGGGTGACAGGCTGACCTGAGATAAGAACCAATACAGTTAAAGCGATAGAGCCCCAGAACGGGAATCATGGTTATGTATAATTATTTTTATATGTAAGTAGCTGCACAAGTGAGGAAATTTCCACGGTGATTGTTGTTTTAGTGAATTAATCAATATTTGTTTAAACATTTTCTCAAAAGAAGTGGCACGCTGACATTTACATTGACCCACTTTGCTTCATTTCCTCCTATCAGTCGCACTACTTTGCTTATCGCTCCACTTAATGACAATGTTTTGAATCTGCTGCTAGATAATAAACCTGCTCCAATCTGAAAGTTCCACGTGTGAATTTGGAGGAACGCACAAGTCATTTAATGAGCTACATTTAAAAATAGTTTTGGAAGCTATGACACAATGCGAATTATATATACCACACATGACATGTTAGCGGAAAACAGAAAGCAACGATGATCGAAATAGAAAAGATTAATTTTGCGCCATCTACTGTTCGTTACAGGAAATTACATTTGAAGGTGATTATATGGGTACATATCTATTGCGAGCTGTCTCACCACTTTTCACTGTGATTTATTCAGACAGTTTGAGTGCTTCCAGTCATAGTAAAATGTTTCTGGAAAGTGTTACCTGGCGATTGTTCAGTAAACTGTCCAAAGAGACAAAAATCAGTTTTTAATGCTAATAGGTCAGAGTGAGACTTTGCCAAAGGAAACAGTAGCAGAGCCTCATGGAAACAGCAAATTGATTTTAGTATGTCAGAACCTTCCCAAATTTCCTGTTTGTTACTTTCACTGCCGTCACTGGGTTCCTGAGAATAAACATGTAGCCATTATTTTGATCAAATAGTCACTGGTTGAAGCCAGTGTCCCTGATGGCTATGGCAGATGACATTAAGCATTTTTCACTGGACAGAAAGTTTAAGTGACAGAGGGATAGGTGGCACTAAGATGGAGTTCATATGCTATCTTTACCCGGGATGGTTTTCCTGCCTGACACGTTATCAGGTGTGGATGACAGCTGTGTCATTTCTCCTGCCATTGGCTTTGGTCGTTGTCTGGTGTAGGGTTTGGGAGTCAGGCTTGTATTTACTGCTGCCACTGCTCACATTGTCAGTGTGCCAGATCTAAGGAGTGTGGTGGCGGATCTGCTGGCCGTGAGGGACAGAGAGGCCTGGGTAGTACAGAGTTATAATGTAAATGATATTCTGCCTACTGTCTGAACACGCAGGATGAGAGACAGAGAGCTTTGTTGTCGGTCTTCGTGAGAAACACCACCAAACCGCTCCCGTGATCAGTCATCGGCTAACAGCGGGTGTGTGTGCACATGTGCAGCACGTGCAAACACACACATACACACACACGCACACACAGTCACACACATACACATACATACACACACACATACACATACATGCATACACGTA